CCTGTTAAAAGGGTTGGGCTTACATATATTTATTGAAGTTAACGTTAATGTCGGCAGGGGTATAATATGCACATTCGAGCAATTTGCGGGGTTATATTGCCGTGTATGCAATTAATCGCTCTCTTCCCAGGTCTGACCCATCCAATCCGGCTCCCGGTGGACAGCTGTGGCACACCACGGAACTTCTTGAGGGGTATACGGAATGAGTGGAAGGTCGTACGGCATGCGCAGTCCAACCCTTGTCATATTCGTGGCGTCCGAATGCAAGGTCACTTTTGTGGAGTCGTTCTCTGATGTTTGTGGTGGCTTCTCAGAGGGGACATTGCGCTTGAAGCAAGGGATCATCTTGACATAGTTGGTTAATGAGCTGTCACTGCATTCCTCTATATTTTTCTCGCGGAAAAGGTCCGGCCACATGAGAACCCCTATTTCCCAGCTGCAGATTCTCACCTCCCCGTGGGTATTAGCCCCAGCTCCCCATGCCTGGGTCGAGAGGTTAGCGGATGTAATCATTGCCCAGTCAATGCTGTTCATGTCTGAGTCGGAAAACCGGATGTAAGTTTTTATGTGAGGCGCAGCCCTCCTCCTCCCAGCCTCCCGTACCCTGTCGGATTTTGTGGCAGGATCAGAGTTCTTTGGATCTTCAGCGTCCCCTGCCCAGTGACACAAATAGCGGCGCAAATATGCCAGCTGCTTCTGCTGAGGGGGGCTTTGAATTTTCATATGAATAGACCCCCCGGAACCATAACCATCTAATGATCTTCTTATTTCATCAGGCGTAGGAAAGATTATAGAAAACCTCGCATTGGAAGTGGAACGGCTCTGATTAACTTCAGGTTGAGGACACAGTGAGCTTAAAAATGTTTCTTTCAGCCACTTATCAGTCTGTCCAAGCGTAGCTATGGACGATACCTATGTGTGTCAGGGAAAACGGGTACAATAAACGTGGTTTACATTGAACTCACTTACCTGAACGATGATATGGGGGTTCTGCGCCTGAGATGAGCTGCGGTCTATAGGAATGGAGCTAATGGCATCCTTCAGTGCAGGCCAACCCCAGAGTGTCCTCTTGTTGGAGTCAAATTCTTTGACCGGCAATCTTGTAGGAACACTAGCAATTAGCATGGCTTTCACTGCTCCAAAATCATATCGTTGTAGTTGGCGAATGAGAGTATTGATCGTTTTGTTGTTATATGCCTCCAAATAAGCAAGCAAGTCTCGCTTGAAACGGGTGCTGCTTCCAAACACCCCACAGGTATCACCCACCTGGGGCTGGGCGAGAGGAAGCAACGGAGATCTCCAAACTGCTTGGGTCATATTTCCCCAGTCTCTCGGTATCATGTTTGCAGTATGAATTATGACCCTGCAAAAAGAAGAACCGTTGTTTTAGTATTTCGACACCGTCAGTTTAGGTACTGGGATGCACCTTACTGTGCTAGGTTATCATGTCGAATCAAAATCATCATTTTTGAATGATGAGTTCCAAAGGGCTCAGGCATATATGCCACAACTGCCTCGGCGTTTGGGTATCGCTTACATGCATCCTATCCCAGGGTAAGATACGGGCTCTGGTGCATGAATCACATCATCCACTTACATCGATGGCAATCCTATTTGGAGCTTCTTTCTTCCAAGATCCGTGAATTATTTTCAGCTGGATAAGATCCTTCACATCACGGTCAAATTGACCCATGATATAGTCCACATCAAAAAGGTAATTGAATTGCCAGCATTCCTTAATCATGGGATCTCCAAGAATGTCCCGGAGCTTGATGCAGCCTTCATTATATCCCGTTGAATCACTGATATCACGGATATGAGTGAGTTGGATTGGTGATGGAATAATCTTCTGTCTGGATGGCCACCCTGGTCCCGAAGGACTCTCAGGTTTCCGAGGCTGTTGATTCCGAGAGAGCGGAGGGGTTATAGATCTGTTCAAAGACAAGAGTCTTTCATGATCATGACGAACAGAGCCCGAAGAGTTCGCCTGATATCCATTGCTGGATGTTTTCAATTTCTTTGAAGGAGGCGGGCCCCCATCACGCCCAACCATAACTACTTTATAGGTCCACACCCAGGCTGACCGGAGAAATGATGAGTTATATATCCCAGAACGGTACCACCGGCCACTAATATTTGCATTCTAAAGGGTTATTGCCGTCCAAACAATTGTTCCTATCCATATCTAATGGTTAGGCGAAGTTAGAACTGGAGAGAAAAGACGAGCGAGACATTTGACTTGGTGATAGTTAGATAAGCTGCTTATGTAATAACACTAGTTAATTGAGCACGTCCCTTCACGACATCGCCACAGCCTGCCTGCACTTCATACAACCGTACACACGATGGTGGCCGAGGAGGATATCTTATGGTCAAGCGGCCGTCGAGCCGGGCTTCTTAGCCTGCTTGCGTCTCCTCTGTTGCCTACCTTACTAAATGATTTACCTTTTCCTCTTGTGAGCAATCTGACAAGCTTGGTTTGATTGCTGGATCGCAAGGAACAGTCACTAACTAGTTATTCTAGTTTGGACTGGCCCTGTAATTGGGTTATTCCAGATACTATCAGCGACCTTGTCCGCTAGTGACATGGAGTTTTACCTCTTTGGAGCAGGGGGGGCCGTTTCCCATTGCTTCTTCCTTAGTGTTAAAATGCCAGGCAAAGTCAACATGGGCACAAAATACCGAGGAGTGTACTTTGGCCCAGAGGGTTACGCCGTGCAAACGGCATCTTCCCTGTCCGGTGGTAGTTATGGTCACACAGAGTCCTCGCATGTTGCGTGGGACAAAATGTGGCCTCCCTCGAGTGTCTCGCAGCTCTGGAATCGTCGGGTTCCTATCATTCTCTCTCTCTCTCTCTCTTTTCTCCTTTGCTGATAGACTGGGTCACCGCTGAATACCGAGCGTATATACACCAGCCATGACTCTAAGCAAAGATCAGCTGTCCGGGGAGCACACTGGTTCTCAAACAACATCGATATCGCCTGAAGGTAGCGCTGAGGCAGCCCGCCAAAATGAGCTGGATGATGATGAACGAGTGCTTGTCTCCCTCGGGTACAAGCAGGAATTTAAGCGCGAGTTCTCCCTATGGACAACTTTCTGTGTCAGTTTCTCAATACTTGGGCTACTACCTTCGTACGCGAGTACGATGAGTTATGGTACGTCAAGGCACCCTCCTGCCTGGTTGCCTTGCAAAGGCCCGTGAGTGCGCTAAATGTTAAATTGAAATACTAGGGATGGGATATGCCGGCAACTCAATGGTATGGGGCTGGTTCATCGCAATGATATTTCTCCAATGTGTTGCCATGTCCATGGCCGAGCTATGCTCTTCGATGCCAACAAGGTATAGCAAATAACCTCCATCCGAATATCATTTACCAAAAGATTTTTATACCCGTTGAAGTTCCGCTGACACCTTTCTGTCAGCGGAGGACTTTATTATGCCGCTGCAGTACTCGCTCCGGCTGGTTGGGGCCCATTCGCAGCCTGGATAACAGGGTGGTCGAACTGGATGGCCCAGGTGACGGCTGCGCCGTCGGTGAACTACGGCATATCCGGGATGATTCTAGCGGCCGTATCAGTTACCCATCCAGGTTATGTTCCACAACCCTTTCATACGTTTCTGTTGACAACGTTATTGATGATAATCCATGGAATAATGAGTAGTATGTCAACAAAGTGGCTAGCAGAACTGAACTCATACGGATCGACATTCAATATAATTTGCTTGATCCTTGTCCTCATCGCAATACCAGTGGGAACAAGTAATGTTCCTAGGTTCAATTCGTCAGAATACGTCTGGGGAACGATCCACAACCGTACCTCTTACCCAGATTGGTTTGCAGTTATGATGTCATTTTTAAGTGTTATTTGGATCATGTCCGGATACGATTCTCCCTTCCATCTGAGCGAGGAATGCTCCAATGCCAACATTGCTTCTCCAAGAGCGATCGTCATGACATCCGGGATTGGTGGCATCATGGGCTGGTTCCTTCAGCTCGTGGTTGCCTACACAGTGAGAGATATAGATGAAGTTATCGACTCGGAGCTTGGACAGCCATGGGCTTCATACGTATTCCAGGTCATGCCAACTAAACTAGCCCTTGCAATTCTTGCTGGAACTGTGATCTGTGGCTTTTCGATGGGTCAAGCGTGTATGATATCCGCTTCTCGCGTAACCTATGCTTATTCCCGTGACGATTGCTTTCCCTTTTCCAACATCTGGAAAACGATCAACCCATATACCCAGACTCCAGTAAATGCGGTGTGGTTCAACTGCGTTCTAGGGATTCTATCTACGCTCCTCATATTTGCTGGTGATGTCGCAATGGGTGCATTGTTTTCCATTGGTGGTATTTCAGCGTTAATCGCATTTTCAATACCGATTGCTATCCGGGTTTTATTTGTCAATCAAAGATTCCGCGCTGGACCGTGGAACTTAGGAAAGTATACAGCCTTCATAGGGATATCTGGTGTATCCTTTGTGGTGATAATGCTGCCAATCGTCTGCTTCCTAGAGGTTGCCGGTTCTGAATTAACGTAAGTCTATGAGTCCCCATTGTCTTCCTGCAGTCTCGAGGAATGAGTTTAACGTGTCAACAGGCTAGCGGATATGAACTGGACTTGTGTGGTATATGGTGGCCCCATGGCTGGTATTATTTTGTGGTGGATTATTAGTGCAAGGAAATGGTTCAAGGGGCCTAAAGTCAACCTTGAGCATGCTATGCTTTCAGAAGACGAAGACCAAGCCACTAATAATAGTACTAACAGCTTAATATAGTGGTATAAGGAGGCTCAGCAATGAGATGGGAGTATTGTTTACGGGAATTCTTGTATTTCTCAATATTTTTTTTGTCAGATGTGTCCCTAAGGGTATCAAATCTATATCAACGTAACTGGAAGTGAAAAATGTATGCCATCGCCACTATATTACTCGAGATAGCCTCGGGAGAGGATTTATATACTTAAGTGTGCCAAATATCCCATGAGGTTGGTTGGCTTGACTAGCTTTCTATACGCACTGTCAGATCACTCTTGACGATGCCACTCCGCTCACACATTCCTCTGAATAACCCCTCTTTCTCCCATAGATTAAGGGGAGTGTCCATTTCAGCTATTCGTCCCTGATCCATTACACATATCCTATCATAATTGATAATTGTTCGAAGACGATGCGCAATGCATAGGAGCGTCTTGCCCTTAAACCCAACTGCCATCGTCTCCTGTATTTTCTGATCTGTTTCGAAATCGACGGAAGAAGTAGCTTCATCGCAAACAATAATACGTGAGCCACGCACTAAGGCTCTGGCCAGAGCCATTAGCTGTCTTTGACCAAGAGAGAAATTCAATCCTTCTTCTTCTACCGCAGTATCAAGATGAATCTTTTGTTGCTGTTGCGGCTGGTGATCGCTTTCAAGTAACGCTGTACTCTTTTCATTGCGCTCAGTGTCGCTGTTATTTTCATTTTCTTCGTTGATAAGGTGGGATTGCCGCAGAGCAGACCAAAGTTCAAGATCAGAGTGTTCATTGAAAGGATCCAAGTTGGATCGTACCGTTCCACGAAACAGGGCAGGGTCCTGTGGGATGATGGCTAATCTGCTGCGCAAATCATGCAGACCAATGGTGGAAATATCAATACCATCAATCATAATCGAACCCCCTGAAAGCTCGGTTAGGCGGAACAGGGCGGACATGATACTAGATTTGCCTGCTCCAGTTCTCCCGACAATACCAATCCGTTCCCCTCCCTTAATATCCAGATTAAGTCCTTGTAACACAAGCGGTAAACCAGCACGATATCTCATCTCAACATTCTTAAAAGTTATTTGGCCGGATTGTGGCCAGTTTTCATCCATGCGGCGTAGGTGCAATGGGGCCTCCTCTTCCAACTTGGTTCCATAATAATGAATTCTCTCTGTCGCATTCATGCTGTTCTCTAGTTCGGCGAGCTGACGGACGGTGAACTGTAGCAGCTGAGAAATTGAAAGAATGAACGAAAGCACTAGCCCGGAGATGCTTGGATCCACGTTGAATCTCGATGTAACAACCAATATACTTGTTACAAAAACCATTAGCCAACCAACGGCGTCCAGTCGGACGGTAAGCCATCGCTGGTTAGAAAAGGTAAGGAAGTATGCACTGTCCATATTGTCAACTGCCTTCTGAAGCCGTTTTGTGAAATAATCCTGGAGTCCATATGCCCTTATGGATGCTGTCCCCGATATGGCTTCAGTGAACTGCGAGAATACCTCTGATCGAAGCACAGCTTCATGACGTTTTAGTTCCCTTGCGGATGCCCGATAGAAATTTGCTGCGAATAAAAATATTATAAGTAACGGTATCAGCGCAATGGCGAACTATTTTAGCGTTAGCACGATGATACTTTCGTTTCAATCCGGATATTCAAAATCCAAGGACTTACATAGTGGAAATATACAATGATCAAAGTGATCACAGCAAGAATTAAGCCAAAGGTCAAGTAAAACGTGCGCATCGCATCTGTCAAATCGTTGTCCATGGTATGTATATCCTTTGAAAATCTGTTGGTCATTCGGCCTAGGGGTGTGGTATCGAAGAATGACATTGGAGCTCGCAAGACCTTATTGATAGCTCGAGAAAGCATAGCTTTACTCGCGTTTGTTCCGCTTATTGTCAAGGTGGTTGAGAAAATGAAGAGACAGAGCGCCTGTGCAACACCCAGAGCAATGTATACCCCAATGTATGCCCCCGTGGAAAAGTCAAATTTTCTGGATACCCAGTAAGAGAGCCATAAGGCATTGACGATTGTACCGCCGTTTGCAAGTATTAGGCCGAGGACGATTATAGGGAGGTTTATGGGCCAGCTAAAGTTTGAAACATAGGCTCGCCAAACTTTCCAGCTGACGGAATTTACCGCCCTTTCCTCCTTTTGCATCAAAGCACCTGGTGCCTTGCCTGATGCTCCATTCTCCCCTTGTGATGGTCCCGCAACCTCAGCGGCTCCGGTAGCGTTCCTTGTAGCCCCTTTATTGTCTTGTTCATCTTCCTGTATGGTCGAGGACATGAGCTTCTGGAAACTATCATTGTGGCGCATGAGGTTGTCAAAGGAATTAATAGCTTCAATGCGGCCATTATCCATCAATATGATTCGATCACATCGGCTAAGAACATGGAGCTGATGCGTAGCAAGAATACGGCATTTGTCTTTCAAAAGTCCACATATGGCGTTATCCATGATATGACGGCCAACATGGGCATCCACAGCAGAAAGAGGATCGTCCAAAAGAACCAGCGAACTATTGAAATATATCGCACGAGCAATATTCAGCCGCTGCTTTTGACCTCCAGAAATTGTTATCCCTCGTTCTCCAATCTCTGTTTGGTCTCCGTTAGGTAACATTTTGAGATCTGCTCTCAAGGCGCAAGCATCGATGACTTGGTTATACCAGACCTCGTCGTATTCTTTACCAAACAAGATATTTTCCTTCACTGTTGCGTTTTGGATCCAGGCATATTGCGGGCAAAAGGCTCTAGACGCTCCCATAGATGCATGACCTCCTGTCATTCGCATATCTCCTGCAAGAGCCGCAAGCAGGGAACTCTTACCACACCCAACTGTACCAATGACGGCAATGAGCTCGTTTCGGCCGGCAGTAAAGGACAGGTTGGTAAGTTGAAATGGCTCCGTAGGGCTTTGAAGACCCGAATCAGCATTCTCTTTCTCCATGTCTTTGGTTAACTTGACCTTTCCTTTGCGGCTTCCGGTTCCCTTTTTGCTGAGTGAGTCTTCCTCACTTGATGGAAGACGTTCCCAGGTAAACGAGGCATTGTCAATCTCAAGTGCATTGTCCAGGGAATCGTCCCGTTCAATATCGTCCTTTTGTTCTTCGGCAAGTAAAAAGTCCTGAATTCGATTCAGGGCAGTCCATGCGTCGGTCACTTGGCCAAGTACTAAGGGTAACATATTCAATGGCAGTCTAAGGGTATTGAATAGAGCCAGGGAGGAGAATATAGGGGCTGGGTTAAGGGGATGCTTGGTGAGAGAGAATGTGATGAAAGAGAGCATAGAGGCAAAGACGGGAAGAGACAATGCAATGCAAAGGAGAACATTGCGGATAGCGAGTACAACCTGAATTGCACGTACTTCTCTCTTACGAAGTTCGTCAAGGCGTTTCAAGAAACTCTGCTCCCAGCCGAAGAACTTGACAAACCTCACAGCTTGAAGGATCTCCTGGGTGAGTGATACTCTCTGATCGGTGATTTTGTTAATCTTCTTTCGTCTTCTGATAAGGGACTTTATAGCGTGTGTCAATAACGGGATTCCTGCAACTAAAAGTGCATACCCCGAAAGAGCACTATACCCAATATTTACCAGGAGAAGAATAAGAGCAAGGATAATGATGATAGGTGACGTCCAGAGAAGGTGAAATAGGCCCAGAGCTTTGTCTATTCGATCGGTATCCACGCTCATCAACGTGACAATACGACCATTGCTCCATCCGGTCCCATCGCCCATCACACCAGCGACTGCGTTTGTCGGTCCAACATGCTTCTTCTTGTTGAAGATTGACGTCAAGATGGTATCACGAGCCTTTCGAAGCTCGGTATCTTGACCGGCGGCTTTTGCTCCCGTTTCTTCCGGGCTGATAGCCTTCCCACCGGCTCTGGCTCTACCAGATAATCTCGTTGCTTTGGAAAATATCATACTAACAAGGACAGCCCGAGCCTGTCCGCCAACCATCATTCCTCGAAAGAAGAACTGGCTTGTAGTCACGCTCTGGACGATCTGCATAACAGTAATGCCGATTGCAATTCCAATTCCGTTGCGAACGTGAGGGCCAGGAGCATGTTTATGCCGTGCAATATATGCTTCTGTTGCGAATGCAATCAGATACTTGGTGGTATAAGGCGTGAGAACCTGGAGAACGCAAGCAACCATCTGGCAGCATGCACCGATCCATATCTCAAGTTTAAATGTTTCATACCCAGCTCCGAGTAGAGGATGTTTGTCGCCACGTTCAATTCTCTTTTGAAACGAAGCTTCAAGTTTCGCAGAAAGTCCTTCGACTGACCTGTCTGGATTTACCAGCCAGATATCCTGTAACTGGAGGGGCCGGAGGTAGCCCGTCTAGATAGCACTTCGTTATTAAATGCAACATATTACTTATACCAGGGAGAAAGCTCACCATCATCAATGGGTGCATCCATTGAAATGTGATGACACTTAGCAAGCTGGCTCCATGTTCCTTTGAAATTGCTCGCTCTGTCGGCACAGGCGGCGGTTTTTGAAGTCTGATCGGGTTCAACTTTTGATACCATCGCAATTTATTCTCATAGGCTGAGTCTACTCCCTTTCCTCCATCATCAGATTCACTCTGGTCGCCATTTCTGCCGTCGTTGTCGATCTCTTTGTTGGTCATACTGTGGCGGCCGCTATCTTTGCCAGCCACTGCTGACGGCATGTCAGGCAGTATAAATAAACAGTTAAAGATGTTCGATCTCTAGATAGGCTTTCTCTTATCCTTTCATGATGCTCACAAATGTTATACAGTGTGGGCGGTGCATGTCGTTCATCCTCGCAATGACAGACCGACCGGGAGACGAGTGCAATTATAAATGACTAAAGCGGCTTGACCGTCTCGGAAACTGTTGGGCGTCAGCTTTTCCACCCTGGCCACTGGAGTCATCAAAGTCCGAAAAGCCCTTTACAGCCGAATTTGAGCTCGGTCATTCTTTTCGTCGCTTCTCTGCTTTTACCTGTTAAACGGTCCCGTACGGTGAGCGGCAAAGCTTGGTTAAGCTTAGTAATTCGCACCCTGTTGGGATTCAATTTCGTCCGTGATCAAGTAGCTCGTATTCCCGGGTTTATAAACTCGGATGAGTTTCATCCGTTCATGACCCTTGAAGACATTATTATTGGTGTTAAGCGGCTTGTCACCATTTTCGTTAACTCCGAGGGCGGAAACCTTGTATGGGTCGTGAGGGTTCTGGCCAGTGTTCAATATATTGCTGCTAGGTGAAAAGTATCCGCCGAAGGATAGCTAGGTATCTCGAGTTAGTTACTACCAACGCATATCATTCATGGTAAGTTAGAAGGAGCCTTGTCTGGTCATCCCGATGCCGCATTTGACTCGGTGGCTGGTGCAAACCAGAGTGAATCAACAATAAGTCGAAAACACCTGAGAAAGAATTAGTTTACTGATACTCCATATCGTCAGTTCATATCAGTTGAATTATCTATTTGTGGCCCAGCCGCCTCGTGAAAGAAATGAGCCGTAGGTAATGCCAACATAGATGCGTACATTTCAACAGGTTTGATTATAGTTAAAATAATCTCGTGTATACCTAATGCATAGTTAGTATCCAGGCTCCCTGGCCCGAGGTCGAAGAGAAAGCTTGGAACCTTTAGGCCGTGCATTTTCAAGATATATGAATATATGTGTAGTATAGTGCTGGATTCAAGTTGGAGATGAAGAAGTATAAATAAGCTGTCAGCCCAAAAACTTTGAAATTGGATAGAATCGAGCGTCAATAATTGAACATCCGATTAGACCATGGACAGGATAAGACGGCCATCAACAATAATATTGTCGGAAGTTGGATTTTTTAGGTAACAGTTGAAGAGATTCATTCAGCATGACCTTGACATATCCTGATTTACCATGCCTCAGGTAGCGAATATGATAGATTTCGAAAGCTCCTGGAACAGTCATTTGAGTTCCTTATGCCAAATGACTAGTCGGCGATCATGAATCGTAGTTGGACGGATGCGAGGGCAAACCCCCACACATCGACGATTAATCTAAATAAAAGAGTCCAGGAACCAATCCGATTTGATAGCTTGCTCGACTTTCGTTAGCCAAAGTTTGGGACTGAAGATGAAAAGATTGGAAACAATAGCAAGGTCTGTGTGAACAAATACGTTGATTGGTTGACAGGTGCATAAGAGTGTATCAACAATACCCTTTGGAGGAAGGCCAACGATGATCTTCAGACTGATCTGCCCCTCTTGGAATAAAGTACCGTAACGCTTGTACTCGTGGGCTTTTTTATAAAGAAAAACACGCGAGAGTCGAGTTCAGGGGTCCATTGCTGGACGTTGGCTCGCACCCTGCAGTTCATGATCAGCATTTATTAGGGGAAGAATGAATTGGATTGTAAGTTTGAATACCTGGTACTGGTGACTTTCTGGTTGAATAGTATACCACACAGCTTTCTCCTCGTCGACAAAACCCCTGGTTCGTCACATAGCTTCCAAATAGCCTGAGGGTTTCGCAAGGGACTAAACATGGTAACCGACCAGCGGCGTCTGTTCCACAAAATAGCCTCTAGCCCCCTCATCTGTATCCAGTCCAGCACCACCCTCTCTACCGTAATTCCAGAGTCGCTCAAGGCATTGGCAATGATTGACTTGAACCTTATGGGCAGTTTTGCAATCATGAAGATGCGGTAAACCAAGCTGAGGATCTTCAATTGTGCAATAAGAAGGCATGCTACAGCAGGGATAGCATATGAGCTGACCGTAAGGCGATGGCACGAAATGCAAGTTAACATGTTTTTGTGGCCGGAACCGTTCGCCTGGCAGTTCAAAAAGGCCGTGTATGTGATTATAGGTAACTAGCTCAAAGTTAGGGACAACAGGCTGCTAAAAGGATGATTTTAATAGCTCTCTTCATGGATGGTATTGATCTTGGTCAATTGCTGCGAGACCCTCATTGATATGGTATAAGTGGTAGCAACAGCAGGGTAGGACATTCGCTCAAATGCCAGGCATCATCAGTGTAGTTTGACCGATAAAGATTGCAGTCTCAAATATGAAGCCCAAATGGATTGACTCTCGTGATTCGAGCCCTCTATCCCCTAGAACATAGTTTACCATGTTAGAGCATTGGCGTAGGCTCTCGCCATATTTAACCAAGAATTCGTGATATTTCCCACAGGTAGACGCCATCCTTAAGTGCCTCGTAGTGAGACTCCTATCGAGTGTCTACTGCTGTCAGACTGAGACCAGAAGAGCCGGTAAAAAGGAAAGATAAGTTGTCTTGCCTAGGCTGAGGAACAGAACTGCCACACTCGAGCAACCAGTGCATCCAGAGACAAGCCTATCGCCGGGATTTGTAGTATCAACTAGAACTGGATATCCAGTTATTCAGGAACGGCGGCCTGTTGAGTCCTTTGACGTAGATATATCCGTGATCTCATCGTAATGCTGACGCCGCTCTTCGATCTGCTTGCTGCCTGCAGCCATGCAGCTTCTCGAATCCCGACAACATCCCGGACTTGCAGGGTAAGTTAACGGGTATCATAGGACCGATCAGAGGCCGGATATCGGGACTCTGCGCTCCGGCCGCTGCACCCTGAGGTCTGTCCGGCGTGTCTGTGTTTGATGTCGTCGGGTCGTCCCAGCCTTGTTAACTATCTTTAACGAGCTTGGCGGTCGGAACAAAGTTGCTGGGAGATCGGCCGGCGAGGCCCCACAACCTTAACTAAAAGTAGGGAGCCCTGGCAGATGGCTCGTTCTCCTAGTTATAGCTACCGAGTTATTTCTCCGACGTCCGCGACCTGGAGATATATATACTTATGGATGTTGGTGATGGTTGAAGGGGGGTGTTCTTAGGGCAGGAGTAGGGAGATACTGGCCTGGGTGTCGGATGGAAGGACAGGGTGATGTGTTCATGCATGATACGAAGCATGAAGGCCCGACCTGGTGGCTTTGTCTAGCTAGTTATTTTTCATCCTTGTGTCCGGATGCCTGCATGATTCAACCGTTTGGCGAGCTTGCCGCGTATAATTCCATGTTTGCTGTGCAGTGTATCTTGACATTGGGCTCGTGTCTGTGATGCTAATGAATTACTTCACGGAGAACGAATGGATCGAGTAAGAGAAATAGTGAAGGTCAGGGCCTTGAGCATACAGTCTATTCCTAGTTCAGCAAAAAAAGTATTCACTACACTGTGCCCTGCGGCATGGAATACACCGGAAACAGAAGACTCCCTTCGCCATGAAGTGATATGTATGACCCTACACAACTCCTCTCAGATAGTATCTAACTGTCCGCTCGCGAGGGTAATAAAAGGGGTATATATGTAAAGCAAAAGATGACAAGAAGCCTGCCCCGGCCATGGTTAGGCCCCTTCTTCCTCCTTGTTTTTTTTTTTTGGGTGTTTCCTTTCCCCCTTTTTCTCCTATAGTCCCGAGTGACTATTCCCTTTAGCCGTTTAAATAAACCATGAAGACATGATGCGCTGTTGCTTTTCTGAAGATATGCTTTGAGTTGGAAAAGAAAAATCGTTTTTGGAGAATCATTAAGTTTCATCCGAAAGAGTAAAGGAGAAAAGAAGAATGCAATGCGGTGGTAGTAAGACGTGGTCGTGAAAGGTGGAGAAGGTTCTTGCGAGGGGAGCGGCGAGGCTAGGCGTTTATTTTGGGGAGTTTGGGAGCTCCTTGATGGCCTCCTCGATGATCTGGAGGGATTCCTTGATTTGCGCCTCGGTGATGACGAGTGGAGGAGCGAATCGGATGATGTTCTGGTGGGTTGGTTTGGCCTAGGAGATATCAGTTAGAAATAGGTTTATATCGTACTTCCAGGGAGATAATGAGGATGGCTTACAAGAAGGCCCTTGGACTTCATCAGCATGCACAGGTCCCAAGCAGTGTGTCCGTTGGTCTTGGACTCGTCGACAACGAGAGCGTTCAACAGACCTCTGCCACGAACAGTCTGGATCATAGGGTCTTTGATAGCGTTCAAACCAGCACGGAACTGCTGTCCTAGAGTCTCAGCACGCTCAACCATATTCTCTTCGCGGATGATCTCCAGAGCACGGATGGCAATGGCACAGCCGAGTGGGTTACCACCGTAGGTGGAGCCGTGTGTGCCGGGCTCGACAGTAAGCATGACGTCCTTGCGTCCGAGAACGCAGGAGACGGGGTACATGCCGCCGGAGATGGCCTTGCCAAGGAGGACGAGATCGGCTTTGACGCCGCTCCACTCCTGGCAGAGAAGCTTTCCGGTACGAGCAATACCGGTCTGAACCTCATCACAGATCAAGAGAGCATTGTGCTTCTCGCAGAGAGCCTTGGCCTCGCGGAGGTAGTCCTCGTCAGGGACCATGATGCCAGCCTCACCCTGGATGGGCTCGAGAAGGAACGCAGCAATCTTGGGGCCGGCAGCCTCGAAGGCCTGGCGGAGAGACTCCTTGTCGTTGTATACGATGGGCTTGTTGGTGCCGGGAATGACACTGCCGATGTTTGGCAGGTAAGGGCCGTAGTTCTCCCTCGACTCGGGGTCAGTAGACATGGAGATGGCAGCGAACTATCACAAAAACACAGAGCAATTAGCACGAATCCTCCCGACCCCCTATCCTTGTTATTATCAAATGAGCACTTACGGTACGTCCGTGGAAGTTGTTCTCGACGCTGAGGATGATGGCCTCGTTTGGCGGAATGCCCTTGACCTTGTAACCCCACTTGCGGGCAATCTTGATACCGGTCTCGACGGCCTCAGCACCGGTGTTCATGGGCAGGACCATGTCGTAGCCGAAGTACTCGGTGACGAACTTGGCGAACTTGGGGAAGACATCGTTGTAGAAGGCCCTGGAGCTCAGGGTGAGGGTTGCGGCCTGCTCGGTCAGGGTCTTGACGAGCTCCGGGTGGCAGTGGCCCTGGTTGACGGCGGAGTAGGCGGACAGGAAGTCGAGATAGTGCTTCCCCTCGGGGTCCCAGACGGAGGTGCCTGATGCGCGCGCAAAGACGACCGGCAGCGGGTGGTAGTTGTGGGCGGCGTACTGGGCCTCCTCCGCGATGGCGGACTCGGTCGACGAGGCGTGGTACTTCGAGACGTCCTTGCCGCCCGGAACCACCTGAGTCGCCATTGGAGCCATTCTGTCTGTCACTGCGTCTTGTATCTTGTGTCTTGTGTCTTGTAGCTTGTCCCGTGCAATGCAATAATAATATGGGTATGGGTATCTCTTGTTCGTCTTGGATGTCTGGATATGCAATTCCTCCTCCCTCCCCGCCGGGCGTCCCGCGCAGCCTTTATATACGCCCCGAGCTGGCGCACGCTGCCACTCCCCCTCCCCCGACGGTATCCTCCCCGTCCAGCACGCTATGCCGTTAAGTGAAGGTGACTCGCACCAGCAACTCCACCGTCCTGCTCCATCTCGAGGGCCGCAGACGAAGAAAAGAAGAAAAAAGCAACGAAGCGCAGCGGCGGCGGCGAATCAGGCCGTCCGTGAGTAAGAAAACCGGCGGGTCACATGGATCTTGACATCATCGCGCCCTCTGGTCGACATCTTCGGGTCTTTTTCTTTTTGTCTTTTTCTTCTTCGTCTTGCTGGTGCTTTGTTTTCGTTTCTTTTCCTAGCCTGTTAACCTAGTTAAACTCCCTTGACGCTGCTCAGAGTTCCTCCGCCGGCCAAGGGAGGGAAACGCTGGTAGCGAGTCGAGTGGTTCGCCTCCTTTTCCCGCGCGGAACGATGCCAAAGGCGCGGAGTGCTGGTGCTGCCTCGAGGGGCCACGGCGGCAGCAGCCAGGGGGCCCAGCAGGGACGGCGGGCGGCGGACGTCTTCCTCCTGCTGCTGGCCCTGCGCATCGCTAACGGCCTGCTTGTCCGGACGTTCTTCCAGCCAGACGAGTTCTTCCAGTCGCTCGAGCCCGCATGGGGGATTGCTTTTGGCCGGGACAGTGGCGCTTGGATTACATGGGTATGCATCCCCCCACCCCGGAAGGGCAGAAACAGAGAGAAAAGAGAGAGAGGAGAGAAAAACAGAGACAGGATGGAAAAGAAAGGAAGATGCGGGAGGTGCGGCTGGCTGACAATTTGGGGCGTTCTGTAGGAATGGGAGCATCAGCTGCGGTCGTCGATTCACCCTTACCTCTTTGCGGCCGTCTACAAAGCCGTAGATGCGGTGGCCAACGTGCTCCAGCTCTCCCCCTTACTACGGGGTGACCTCCTGATAGCGGGGCCCAAGGTTGTTCAGGGCATCATCTCCGCCGTGGGGGACTATTACGCCTGGAATTTGGGCAGGCGGATATACAATGGCAGACCAGAAAGCACTTGGATCGTGAGACTTCCCCCTCCCCCCTCCCCCTTTTTTTTGCCGTGCTTTACGGGAGGATGTACATTTTTATTCTGACTGGGCGAGCAGCTAGGTTTGACGGTGTTGAGTCCCTGGCAGTGGTTCTGCTCTACTCGGACGTTATCAAACTGCCTGGAGACCACGCTTACCGTCACTGCCCTGTATCTCTGGCCATGGCAGTGGTCTCTCCCTGGCAGGTGGCCGCTGGTGACCACTAGAGACGTTACCCGGTATGCTACACCCATATATCTCGAACATACGGAGTATGTACCCAGACTAATAGGTCTAGCCTGAGGATATGCCTGATCCTTGCCTCGCTGGCGTGTGTCCTACGCCCGACTAATACCATTATATGGTTCTGTCTGGCGGCCAATCTGGTATATACCACTCTCCGCCAGAGCCAGACATCACGGCTCTCGTGGACCAAGTCCCTAGAACCTCTCATCATTCTTCTTAGAGAATGCATCCTCTGCGGGTAAGTCTTGACATAGCCCAACATGTAGATGTCATCAGCTGACGCAAAAGGCAGTTCTTCCATCCTGGCTATCTCCGTCCTAGCGGATCGTGCCTATTATGGAACATGGACACTTCCACCCTTCAGGTTCCTCTATTTTAATGTAGTCCAGTCCCTTGCCGTCTTCTACGGCAGAAATGATTGGCACTACTATCTCTCACAGGGATACCCTCTTCTACTCATCACTGCTCTCCCATTTGCTTTCATCGGCATGTTCCAGTCATTGTTCATGGCATCGGAACAATCTTGCTCTACCAGTCTGGCCACAACAGTCAGACGGCAGCTATCACTTGCCTGCATTGCAATGCCGGCAATCCTCTCTCTTGTCCCTCACAAGGAAGTCCGCTTCATATACCCCCTATTACCTTGTCTTCATATCATCGCTGCCGCTCCAGTATCCAACTTCTTCACTCCCTCCATATCTTCCGCTTCTGGATCATATACCCCGCGGAGACTTCTCTTAATATTCCTAGTGCTGGTCAACGTTACCATTGCCGCATATACGTCCATTATCCACGCCTCAGGTGTCATTGATGTACTTGGATACCTCCGCGTACAACAGGATACCCATTACCAGTATGAGCCCTCCCGTGGCCTTACTGCGGGATTTCTCATGCCATGCCATAGCACTCCCTGGCGGTCACATTTGGTATCTCCTCACATCCGCGCCTGGGCTCTGGGTTGTGAACCACCTGTCAATCTCTCCCCAGAGGAAAAAGCCACCTACGTCGATGAAGCGGACCAATTCTACAACAATCCTTCTGAATTCCTATCCCAACATATGGCTAGCACTGGAATACTCTCTAAACATTTCTCATCTGCTTCTACTCACAAGCATGATTGGCCAGACTACCTTGTCTTCTTCTCCCATCTAGAGCCAACACTTAAACAAGATGTTCGCTCTTCATCTTCATACGCCGAATGCTATCGCACTTTCAACACGGCCTGGCATGACGACGCACGCCGAAAGGGAGACGTGATAGTCTGGTGCCGTGATCCGAAGATCCAATCGGACTGGCGGACCAGCCAGATTCGCAAAACTATCCCTAAAAGCGAGAAACCTGCTTCTCAGCAGCAACAGCAACAGCAGCAACAGCGTAGCTTCGACCGGATCATCGATGTCTTAGCCAGAGAACGAGACAGTGCTGCCCAGCCACAGTCAGACTCATCATGGATTCCTTGGTGGAGCAGCAGCAGCAGCAGTCCACCAGAGACAAAGAAGACACAAGACATATTCTCCTCGTTCAAGACCTCGTTTTCGCTTCCTTCGCTCTCATCTCCATTTTCGTCATGGTCATTGAGTAAACGACGATCTCAGCAATGGAACTGGCCGTGGCAGCGCCGACGCAAGGCTCCAATCTTTCAGCTGAAAGACAACATTGTCTCAATGTACCAGAGGATAATCGCCCGACGGCAAGCAACGAATGCACAGCGCGATCTGTGGTCTTGAAAAATCGCTATGACTGCCTGGCGCTGTCTAGACTTTCTCCGTCCCTGGAGCTATCCTTTTCATACAACAGCCCTTCCCGGCTTGGCTTTACATTCATACATACAAGCGGATGAACATACCTAGATAGTCGTTTAATTTTTGTAATACATAAATTGATATTAGCCCGGTATTCAATCAGCTTTGCTCCGTAAGGCAGACAGTTGTCTCACTGTATCCCCCACGCATACGAACAAGAGCAAAAGTAAAGTCATAACACGGCATAGCAAAACGCTCATATCATTAACTAAGTATAAGGTCTATCTGTAATAAGAAGCTTGAAACTGTAGTGTCCCCGCAGCAAATAAGCAAGCAGATAGAATAAACCGAGGACGAGTTTTTCAAACATTGTAATAAAAGCAGTAAGACCAGAACGGAAGAAGATAAATAGCCAGATTTGCAAAGGGTGCTGGTTATACAAAGAAGAGAAGAGAAGAGAAGTGAGAACGAGGGTAACTGTTCATGTAGAATAGCAACGGAAACTAGAAAGGATAGGATCGGTATGCTACCTCCTATACGTAAAGTGAAAACAAGGAGTGAATAAAAGTAGTTTCAAGTAAAAGAAGCCAAAAAAACAAAAACAAAAAAAGTGTCGGGTCCCATCATCCATCCACTTATGCATTGCAGTGTATGCGATGGTGTTAGAAGGAAGTGAACGAACATATGAGAATAAGAAGAGAGAATGGTATCAGATAAGTGGCCCCCCAGAAGAAAAGGTAGGCTGGTAGAAGATTAGAAGAGAGACAAGAGACGGATCCACAAGCTCATTTCATTATCAGGTGGAAAGGGGCGAAAAAAAAAAAAATGCATATAGGGCGACGAGACCGGCGGAAGGTAACGATGGTCTTTTTCGAATGAGGAATTCAAGTGTTGCTTGCTGACTGACTGACAGGCTATATATCGATGCGCTTTTCTTTTTCTTTTTTTTCGTGGTATCGCTGGCAATTCAATGGTTTATGTATGGATGTATGTATGCAATGAATTTCATGTATGTACGGTACGCTTGAAAGGGGAGTGCTTAATATCTGGCGCTTAAACTGGCGAAGATATCAGGGCTGTGGCGCCCACTGTGAGCCTGTCTGATATCGATAGATTCCTGGCTGACGTGGGTTCGTGAAAATCCCATGTTATTTGGAGCGGGAGCGGGAGCTGCGGGGTCCTGTGATTGGGTTGGTGCCGTGGGGACGAAGCTGGCTGGCTGGCTGGGAGCTGCATTGGTAGGGGCGAAGAAGGGATTGTGATTTGCGTATGTGCCTGTGGTGATTGCGGGGGCGGACTGGACCATCGGGCTCGCATTGGGGGTGGTCTGGTATGGGTTTGTGGAGAATGGGGTATTTGTTTGTAGGTGCGACAGTTGAGGTTGTTGCTGGGTCTGTTGCTGCTGTTGTGGCTGTTCGGGGATGGTAGGGGGAGGTTGAGAGAAGTTGTAGAGCGCAAGAATACTGGATTTATCAATCCTGTTTGGCTGCTGGGGTTGTTGTGGCTTGAGCTGTTGGTATGCAGGCATAGCAGGAGTAGGCTGTTGTTGCATGGGATAGATTGGTTGCTGCTGCTGCTGCTGCTGCTGAGGCTGTTGGTACATGTAAGGAGGAGAGAGGGCTGGCATGGTATTATGGTGCTGGAGGGTGAATGGTGAAGTGTTTCCTTGCTGAAGCCCATTTTGCTGCGTCTGCGGTTGCGGCTGCGGTTGCGTGAAGAAAGGGTTTGTAGGTGACAGCGGTTGGGTGGGAGTTCCTGCATACGGTGTTGCTGGTGTAGAGTGCGACATGAACGGGTTATAGTGTCCGTGCATAGGTGATTGAGCCACCGAGCCGTAGCCTTGCTGTTGCTGTTGCTGTTGCTGTTGCTGGTGTTGCAGTTGTAGGAATTGGTGCTGATGGGGGATCGATGGAACAGGAGGTGTCATGGTCTGCTGGGCTCTAGACAGCTGTAAGTTGGCCTGTTGGCTGGGATAGCCGCCCGTCATGTTGGGGAATAAGGGTTGGGAGGAAACCTGGAGGTTCTGGAATGACTGGTCCAGGGCATCGAATGGGTTATGGGAGACCGGCTTCTGTTCTGTAGGAGTGTTACCCCCAGTAGCCGATCTATTGGTTGATATCCCTACGTTCCCGTTAGGAGGAGCAGCAGCCACGCTCGCTGGCGGCTTATCGAAAGGATTCGAGGAGCTAGAGGGAGGGGTGAACATGTCTGTCGAGCCTGAGGAGGTCCTATAGCCGCTCTGTGTGCCGGTTGGTGAGGTAGGAGACCGTGGCCCGCCTATCGACGACTTCTCTCCAAGCCTGGTCAGCGTATCTATGCAGCGTTCTACATCACCGTTCAGCCCCTTGAGAACGGTCATGTTCCTTCTCTCGTCCATGAAGCCCATCTCCCGTAGTTTCTCGAGCTTCGACTCCAGGGACCCATTACGATCTGCAATGCTAACTCCCAGTGTCCTGGACTGTTTGTTGTTCGGTAGAGGGACTGAATGAACGTGAGAGGTCTCGAGACTCTCTCTCCGGCGTAGGGAAGGGAGGGTTACAGTGGCGGACCTGCTTGAGCTTGGCGAGGACGAGTGAGAGGAAGACAACGAGCGCAGACCAAAGGCGAACCTCGACTTGGGCTTGGAAGGCAGAGTAGCCGTAGCATAAGGCGGGGAGGAAGGAGAAGGCAGAGAGAGGTCTGCGGCAGGCCTTGAAGTGTAGCTCGGGTCCTGTCTGCTGGGCGGCTTCGGTTTACCATCCTCGAGGGCTCTGAGCTCGTACTTTTTGCGCACAAAGCGTTCCATGACCGAGTCGACCTCGTCTATGTCGAGGGGGATGGAGGGTTTGATGTTCCGCGGGTTGTATATCCTGTTGACAGCTACGTTCCCGTTCTTTTTCATGGTCTGGGAGCCCGTTAAGTGTCAGTACGACGCCAGCAGCAGCAAGTGTCACCAGGGAGAACCCACCTCGACCTGCTCTGCCGTCCAGCTGTCCATGGTCAGAGACTTGACCTTGGAAATGTGGGTGCCAAGTTTACGGTGCAATGTTGCGCAACGCATGCACAGGAATATCCCCAGCTATATTAACCAAAACGGCTTGTTATTAGACGTGAGCAGAAAAAAAAAGGCGGCGGCGAACTCGAGTCAACGGCTTACATTCCAACTTCCCCATCCTGTTAGCGATTCCATCGTTAGCATGGCTAAAAACAACAAGAAAAATAATAGTAATAATAACAGGAGGTGAGACCGACCTGGGTTCCTGGCCTGGCAGTCAGCACACCTGTCGTTGCCGGGCACGGAGGTGATCAGATCCTGCAGCGTCCGCTCGTTGCGCGCCTGCTGACGCTTGCTCAGGGCAGACATGGCTTGCTCGTTCTTCGCTTCTGTCTGTGTCTCTCGCACAGAATTCTGCACAGCTGGGATGGGCAGAGGGGAAATGCGGGCACGGCGCAGGCGCTCAGGGTGGTTTATTAGCAGGAGTTACGTAGTTGCAGAGCGTTCTCCTTTGTGCCGGGTAGCTAGTTAGGAGGGAAGCGGGTACGGTACGGCGGGACGGGGCCTTAGCTGGCGCCGGGCATGGCAGGGAGAGGCAGCGAGCGAGCGTCTTCCGGGGGTTGCTGGGAATCAGAGGCCGACACAGCTGGAGGGAGGATTAGGGTGAAGATTGACGACGACGGCCTAGTTGAAGAGAAGTGAAGAGAAGTGAAGGGAGTGGAGGAGTGAAGGAGTGTGTAAAGGAGAGCGCAGAGTTGGAGCAGAGAAGTTCGTGTGGTCGAGTTGCCCGATTGGAGATAGTCGAGGCTCGATCCACCCGCGATAGAGACGCATAGATAGACGGACGGACAGGGCAGATCGCCGGAGCAGCAGAGGAAGAGCAGCCAGCGACGACGATTACGGAGTCTATAGCGGGCGATTATAATGATGATGCTAGATACCTGTGAGAGCTCGACATCCAGACATCCACAGAGAGACAGAGAGAGAGAGAGAGAGAGAGAGAGACACCGGAGGAGTCGCCGCAAAGGGCGAGCCCCTTATTTCTTCTACCTATCCATGACTAATAAATGCCTGCAACGAGGGATGTAACATGCACCAGGGCCAGAGGCCGCCGTCGCCGCCACCTCCGGCCTTCCCCCTCTTGTCTCTCCCGTCATTCGATCCTCTCCAGAGCTATGAGCATCATCATCATCATCACCGTCTTTTTTTCATCTGCTTCTTCTTCGTCTTTCTAACATCGCGAGTTTCAGCTTGAGTCGCGGCAAAGCCTAAAACGTGATGACTAATTTCTGACTCATCTTTAACATCAGGTGATCTCATCTTCTGACTAAGCAAAGATAAAACTAGCTCTATTTTTACCTCTTGCGCTAGTCCTGTTTGAGTCTAGCCTGCCACAGCATGCACTAGTCCGTTAGCAGACTAGCGCCTCTTCCACTCCACGCTAGTCCGCTTCTGGCCTCTGCGCCTTTCTCGCCCTTTTTGGCTCTTTTTGGTGACTTTTTTGCTTCTTCTCTTCTTCTCTTCTTCTTTCTCTCGTCTCAACCTCAACCCCAACCTCGACCTCACCTTCGCCCTCTGTCTCGCTGACGGCCAGCACAGCCTCGAGTCCATCCTCAGTATATCAGCAGCCGGTGCGACCTGCGTAAAGACCAGGCCTTGCGCTGTCGCCTCACGACTCACGACCCTTGGAACACGAAACAGGACCGCCAGAGGGGACGGCAGACGACAGACGAAAAAAAGGACGACCGTCGACCACCCAGCACCCGACGGCCATCGGCAGCATCGTCTCTATCGAGCGTGCCAGTTGCCTCTGAGCCGGCCAGTATATACATCTCGTGGCGATCGCCTCCCGTCCACGTTTGGTGTGGATTGCGATTGAGCCAGCGGTGACCGTGATGACCTTGACCTGATCCCCCTGGGCCATCAAACCTCCTCAGCTGCGTCTTTACGACAAAAGTGCTAAGAAAAATATCAACAAAAAAGGATCAGAAAGAGCAAAAAGCTGAGAGAAAAAAAAAAAGGAGAAAAGATTCAAGCGCTTCTCCTCTCTATATGTCCCCTCGCTGGCGTCGAGGCTCCCTTTCATCACCCCATCGTTGAACCTCGGAGGAGGTATGTTGTCAGATTATGACAGATACCTCCTCGACTGCTCACGCACATTCAACGGCGAATCCGTTTCCGTTTCCGGCCACCACCTCCCCCTTGCCCTCCCCGGTCGCCAACGGAACTGGTTCGACCCACGAAGCCGAAGAAGATGAGCCCTACACCATCAAGTGCATCTGCTCCTTTGAGGACGACGACGGCAGCACCGTCCTGTGCGAACGCTGCGATACCTGGCAACACATCGCCTGCTACTACATCGACAAGAAGAATGTGCCAGACATCCACAACTGCGTCGACTGCGAGCCCAGGCACCTCGACGGCAAGCGGGCCACCGAGCGCCAGCGCAAGCTGCGGGAGCAGAACGACTCCAACAGCAATGCCACCGATGAACAGAGGAAAAGTCGTCGTTCCGGCTCCAAGAGCCAGAAGAAAAAGCCAAAGGATATCGGCTCACCCTCTGGCGTCGGTGGCGACCAGCGTAACGGATGGTCTTCGCACGAACGAGCCGGCTCCACGGCTTCGAAAGAGAACGGTCACCATCACCACCAAGGCCAACAACTCCAACAGACAAAGAAGCAACGAGGAGCCCACCGCTCTTCTAACTCTATAAGCTCTGTCGGTGGTGGTGACTCTCGTAAGCGTGGAAACAACATCAACGGCAAGTCTCCAGGCTCTTCTTTCCCCCAGATTCCGCTTTACTCTCCCGAGTTTCTTCATCTCTACGACAACGACAATGCCAGCCTCGACATGCAAGGGAACCTTTTCCGTACCATCGGTCTCACCAACGACCTGGCTTCGTGGGTAAAGGACCCTCTTGCGCTTGCTCAGGTTGCAAACGGTCGTAGCGCCAAAGAAGTCTTCAATCACACCGATCAGCCGCTCGATCCTTCAACCTGGCCACCTCTCACAAAGCAGACCATTGTCGACAATCATGTCGAAATCGACGGCAGGCACCCAACCTGGCAGTGTCTCAAGGTACAGAGCAACGTGCGCAAGGACGAGATCGTAGGCGAGGTCAGAGGTAAAGTTGGCCACTTCAGAGACTACTGTCATGACCCGGACAGTAGGTGGCAGGAACTTCGCCACCCTGAGCCGTTCGTCTTTTTCCACCCTCAGCTACCAATATACATCGACAGCAGGGAAGAAGGCACTGTGCTCCGGTACATCCGCCGGTCTTGTCGTCCAAACGTCACAATGCGAACGTACATCACAAACCAGGTAGAGTACCATTTCTGCTTCGTCGCAAACCAGGATATCCCCATGGACACCGAGATATCGACCACCTGGTATCTCGATCCCAAGATGTTTCCCTCCAACGGCCTGGTCAAGGAAGAAGGGTTGCCGGATGGGTCACCAGACGCGGCTGCCATCTCAATAAGTAACGTTCTTGCCCATTTTGGTGGCTGTGCCTGTGATGATTCAGTAAAACCATGTCTCCTGGCAAATATTGACTGCCGCATGAAGCCAAAGTCGCTGCTGGAGTCCAACACTAAGCAGGCGAACGGACGCAGGAAGAAGGCCAAGACAAAAACTGCTGCTTCACCTGATAGCTCGGGATACGTTGCCGCCCACAGTCGGTCAGGCAGCGAGATCGTTCGCAAAGAAGATGATGATGACCATGCTGATGCACGATCAACGTCTGGCTCCCTCAAGGATCACCATTTCAACAGAGATCTAACTCCTGGTGCTCTTGGACGCGATAACGGGGAGTTGTCGGCTCGTGAGAAGCGGAAGATAGCGGCTGCAGAGAAGAAGTTTGAGCAACTCGAACATGATCAGCAACATCCCAAGAAGAAGAAACGGGTTCATCCTCCGCGTGGTCAGAGCCCTAATCTATCGGTATGTCCCCGCCTGGTCTTCTTTGTCTCCAGATCCCTTTGACTGTTGATCGTATAACGACTATAATACTAATTAATTATCTTTCTAGAAGTCAGCGAAGCCTCCGCACCTTGACATACCCAACTCGCGCAGGTCATCTCACTCGCCAGCCAAGATGTCTCCTGAGTCTGCGTCTCAACGTCGAGATGGCCATTTCACTCCTCCGAAGACATCTGCCGCTAGCACACCTCGTGTAGTGTCGCCGTTGAGCAGACCAGTCTACATTGACCGTTCTATCCAGACTGATCCTGATGAGAATGACCCTCAATATGTTCCACCAAAACCGTTCCCTGCTCCACGGTTCATGACTCTTTCGCAACGACTGCTGCGACGATGTCTCGAAGATCGCATAAAGATGGAAGAAGATGGCCGGTTAGACAGTATACCCAGTCTAGATTCTTCAGAAACCGCCAGTGCGGGCACCATGCTCCCTCCGTCAACGCCAGTGAACTCAAGGCTAGCCCCTTCACCAAAGCATGCATCGGACATTGAGATGAAGGACGCGGACTCTTCGATGACACCTCCCAATGCTACGGTCAGCTCGGCCAGTCCTACAACTACCTCCTCCGTTTCGCTGTCCTCGCCACCTCCTTGCCCTCTCTTCCACCTCCCTTCGACAGTCGCACACAACTTGCCTACTCCTCGCAAGATTCCAGGGAAGCCGGATATGCGAATACCCCTTCCTCCGCAACTCCCTCCTCCAACTGACAGTGTGGGTTCGCCGGACTCAGCATCCAAGCCCGCTCCTCCCATTGCCGTCACAAAACCTTCTCAGTCGTCCAAGTTGGAGACCACCAGTCCCGGCCAACCTGCGGCTGCTACTCCTACTCTAACGCCCACATCAAGTCTCACAGCTCCAAGCCCCGTGAAGAAAAAACTGAGTTTGAATGACTACATGAGTCGCCGCGGGACCCTGACAACCCCAACCACAGAAAAGGCTCCCAACCCATTTCTGCCCAACAGTACAAGTCCCGCGGCTTCAACGGGTAGTGCAGATCCAAGTCCCACAACACAGTTACCCTTCACCAAGTTTGCGGAGACCCAGACTCAGACAAATGGCGTTGGTCAGAATCCACCCGCTTCAACGGACATTATAATGAAGGACTCTCCGCAATCCCCTTCAACCCTGTTTCCACCATCTCATACCGACTCTCCCTCCACAAGCAACGGCGCAAAGTCAAATGCCATCCAGGATCTGAGTTCCCGAGATCCACGACTCCTTGATCGTGGTTAACCCTTGTCCGTCCTGCTTTACCCCTCCACCTCTCTCTTTATTCCTCCGTCTATATATCCCACATGAAGTGAATGAAAGAGAACAAAAAAGACCAACCAGGCTTGGTCCTAGCTCCGTTTTATTCTTATCCTCTTTTTTTGGGGGAGGTTGACACTATCCCATGTCTTGTACATGTGATGCTGTTTCCGGTACTCGATCTGTAAGAGGTGTTTTTAAATCGGCGTTCTATTTTTTTTTTCTCCTATCTCATTTGTTAGTTTGCTCATTTCTATCTTTGACTGGAATGGATGGACAGGAATCTGGAGTGTTGTCTTTTTTTTTTACCTCGGTTTTCCCACTACCTCTCTCTATACTTTCCGTTTTATATCTCCCTTTCCCTTCTCCCTTTCCCTTCTCCCTTTTCCTACCCTACTTTTTCCTTCGAGTCGTATATGGGATTATTTCTGTTTTAATGGGAAGCGTTAACGCGCTAGTTTCTAGTGCTGGTGCTGGTTCTGGTTTGTTTTCTCTTCCTTTTATTTCTATTTCTTTTTCGTTATATTGGGCTTTTTTCCTCTCCTATAACAAATATCCTTCCTCTCTTATATCCTTCCTGTTCCCACCCCCCTGGACCGAAGTGACTCAACTGCTCCGTCACCCTAACCTATCTTATCTCGTCATATTTTTAAAGAAATCTTTTTTGGCCGGTGGATTATCTCGAGTTACCAGCTTCACTTTGTTCCTCACCACCCCCCACCCCTAATCACCCAACTCCCCTTCCTCCCTCTCACCTTTTTCCCCCAACCTCCCTATCTATTCCTCGATCTTGATGCTTTTATTTCTCCTCCCCTATCTTATCCCTGTGTAACGCCGTGTGTAAAATTATCTCTTACCTTGTTCCCTTCCGTTGTTTCTTTAATTTATGGCGCAAGTGAAAGGCGATGATTGATGGATGGATGAATCCGTGACCAAAAAAAAAGACGTTTAATTGATTGCCTGATTCATCGGTTAAATTACTTGATCTTGATCAATCAATTGACTGGTACTGGTTTGGTTGGTTGAGTGGTTGTTGTTCTTTTCCGAGAGTATGGTATGCATGCCTGCGTGCAATGTTATTATTGAAAAGAGTTTCTTGTCCTTACTTCTTCTCCTTCTCGCCCATCGTCGTCTATCAAAAACATCTTCCTGTCGTTATCGGCAACATTTTTAACGTTAAATCTAACTCGCGGCTTCCTGTTCACGTGACCAGCGCTTGCGGCTAAAAAGACTTCGAGCTTTCCAAGGTTGAAATGAAAACATGTAAATAAAAGAAGGAAAGCTTCATGGTCGGCAATCAAACAGGTACCACAGCTTGATGGCTCGAGTCATGACGTTCCTGTAGATGCTTATCTATTTATAGACCGCCATTCATCCAGTCGTGATGGAATCCGACTCTCGTCCGTCAAAGCGGCGAAGAGTGTCCAACCCAGACCTTGACCCCAAACCAGAGAGAAGAGAATCTCCCAGTCCAACCCGAACTCGAAAGTCGCGCAAGAATAATATTCCTGCTACTGATCCTGAGAGTACTGTCAATACAGGTACAGAAGAAGTAGCCGAGAAGAAAGACGATGAAGCGCCGTCACAGTCGACGAGACGAAGTGCCCGGATTAGGGTGACGGGGAATTCCGTCGTGAGCACCAGTGCAGGCCCACCGAGACCGAGGGTTGTGGAGGAAGAGGATACACAGAATAGCAAGAGAAGCAGAAAGACAAAGACTAGTATAGCTGGATCGTCGTCAACGAAGAAATTGGCACGGAAATCAAGCAAACCAACCGCTGCCACTACAACCACCACTACTACAACTACGACTGGGCGGAAGAACAAGAAGGAGAACAAGAAAGACGAAAGAGATGGTCGATTAAAAGGGAAAAAAGAGAAAAAGGGCGTCAGTGGTACAGACGATGTGTGGGAAGTTCCGTGTGATCGTGAGAACGAGGACGAGGACGAGCTGGCTATAGCGCAGTTAGTGGCTAATGATGCGGCGATTCAGCTTCAGACGGAGCTTGGAGAGCGGATAGAAGTGCCTCCTGAGACAGTCAATCAACCTGCCTATGCTGAGAGGTTCATATCACTATGCGAAGAGCACGGTCTGGAACCAATGCTGGCACCGCTCGGCGAGTTCATTCTAGAAAAGCTAAACGGCAAACGCCTGATACCACTCAAGGGACTAGACAACGAATACCGGACAGTCTTCCAGCTTCTGGAACAGACCGTTGTGGCAGGCGAAGGGAACTCACTCCTGCTACTCGGGGCCAGAGGGAGTGGGAAAACGGCGGTGGTAAACACGGCTCTAGCAGCTCTGTCGAAAACCAATGCCGATGACTTCCACGTTGTTCGTCTGAATGGATTCCTGCACACAGACGACAAGGTTGCTCTGCGGGAGATATGGCAGCAGCTGGGGCGCGAGATAGATCCGCAGGAGGATCTGGAAAAGCCGTCAAGCTACGCTGACACGATGGCGTCGCTGCTTGCGTTGCTATCCCACCCGGAAGAAATAACGGGTCCCTTGCCTGAGGAGAATGGCATGACAACTACGAAATCGGTGGTGATCGTGCTGGACGAGTTTGACTTGTTTTCGTATCACCCGCGACAAACGCTGCTGTATAACTTGTTTGACATTGCACAGGCAAAGAAGGCCCCTGTTGCGGTGTTGGGGCTCACTACGAAGGTTGAAGTTACTGAGAACCTTGAGAAGCGGGTGAAGAGCAGGTTCAGCCATCGACATGTGTTTCTCCCTCGGCCCAGGAGTTTTGTTGAGTTTGTGGATATATGCATGGCTTCGTTGAAGGTTGAAGGTGATGAGGTGGATTCTTGTCCGTTGGACGGCGAGAAGGGACCAATTCTCCTAAAGGGGTGGAACGATTATATCCAGGTACGTCGACGCGATTGTCCCAATCTAACAAACAAAACATAGTATATATATATGAACATATATATATATATATATAAACATATAATAATATATTAAAATAATAACTTGCTTGGTAGGACCTATTTGAAGATGCCGAGTTTGCACGTCATCTCGAGCCGATATACTACCAAAGCAAGAGTGTGCGGGACTTCTTCCGCAGTGCGCTGGTCCCGATAACGTCAATGGCACTAGGCTCCGTGGCAGGCACCAAAGCGGAGCTCCCCGGCACGCAGTCCTTTGCATCAAACTCGCTGGCCTGTCCAGACCCAGCACCGCTTCCCTTCACCCAGCTCTCGGGTTCATCAAGCAACGTCTCCCTACCCTTGTCGCTACTACTTACGGCAACCCGGCTAACGGCGCTGCATGAATCAACGGCAACGGCCACGGCAACGGCAGCCTCACTTAGCCTATCCTTTGCGGCCGTTTACAGCGAGTACGTGCGCCTGCTCACCGTGGCCAAGGCATCGGCATCGGCCTCTGGCGCAGCGGCAACGCCGGGGCGGGTATGGGGTAAAGAGGCTGCCAAAGAAGCGTGGGAGAAGCTGGTTGAATGGGGTTTGGTGCTGCCTGTCAATGGCTATGGGATGGGAGACGGCAAAATGTTCCGGGTCGAGGTGTCGTTTGAAGAGGCTGTCGCAGCTCTAGGCTCTACCGGGGCCGGGGCATTGGGCAGGTGGTGGAGAGACGGGTAGGTGAAAGGGGGGAGGGGGGGGCTAGCCAGGCGATTCTTTTCCTTACGGTCCAACAGTTTCTGGCACCGTTTGGTAACTTCTGGAACCTCGATATAATATTACCCACGAATTACCCAAACCCAGCCGTTCCAGTCATTGCACCGAACCGTAAATAACTGTACCACCACCTGCGCCTACCCCTGCCGTATGTACAGTATCAATATGCTTACAGGCAGGCCAGGCAAGCGGACAGAGCAAAAAAGACTTCCTTTGGCAGCCCAAGTTCCGTCCCACCAACCGATGACGTCTGGCTTGCCCCCTCCCCCTTTTTATTTTTTGGCCCATTTACTCTCTACCATCTCGTGCCCAAGAGATAGCAAAATGATCGTCAAAACTCCCGTCCACTTTCCACGCTTTTGGAGGCAGGTAGGAACGCAATTGAGGTGGTTGAATTGGGGCAACGGTGATTGATACATACTTTTGCGGGCGGTCGATCAGTTCTCTCGCTTGCCCCCAGCCCCAGCCACGATCGATGGCCCATCAGTGCCGCCCAAACGCCGGTTTTAAGAAGAAGAAAAGAAGACAGAAACTCAATGGAACGTGTTCCTTTCTCTGTAAAAAGCCAATACAATAATTGAACTTGTTGGTTTCCCCCCCCTCCAGGGCAAAAAGGAAAGAATAATAAGCATTATTCAGCTCTTGGTGACCTGTATCACCCTCGGCGAACGATGAGCAGCAACACTCGAATAGTCGCATAACTATACAAAATAATAATAATAATGATAATGATAATTAAAGAATAAGTAATAATGCTTGTTCTTTTTTTTTTCTTTTCTCTCGTTACTTGCTTTCTTTACCTGACGCGTGGCTTCGATACACATACACAGCCAGCCCTTTTTTGCTTTTTGGCCTGCGATCACCGGTCGACTGACGATGATGGAATGGGTGTTCGTTCAAAGAGTCGATCAAAGGTCAAGCCACCACCAACGAACAGACCGACTGACGGAGGACTGACTGACTGGTTGGCCGAACTTGGAAAGCCCCATGTCTGGCTGAAAAATTGAGCATTTCAGACGAGAGGGTGACGACATCTCCATCCTGGCCGGCATGACGTTGAAGAAATCATGGCATCTCAAGTTTGGGTATGGAAGTACGGAGTACCGTCCAAGTACTGAGTTGGTATGTGTACTTGGTACTTCGTGGGTATGATGGGTATGAATGTACTGTTGATGCAATGGTGGGCTGGCCCGTCACCGTCACCGTCACCGTCACCATCGCACAGCAGGAGAGAAGAACTGTCCCAATGGGATGTTCATATGTCACGGTACAACCATGGAGCGAGCATCACATCACATCACCGCGTGGTTGAACAGCAGCATGGAAGAAGAAAAGAAGAAAAG